TTTAGGTTATGTAGGGGGCCATACAAGGATCCTTATGCAGTATTAGAGGGAAAATCTACAATCTTATCGTCATATATCATAACTTGAAGAACATTAATAAAATGATTAGCTATCAGCTATATGACAAAGAACAATCATCAATCAATCAAATTTTATCTGCATAGCCCATATTCATAATCATAATTTGCCTAATAAGGCTCAACGAGCAGGGACATCCTCTGCCCTTAACCCTCAACCAGAGTCAGGAAAAACTACCAAAAAAACCCTTTAACAGGTGAAAAAACGTAAAAACTTCAGAGAGAGGCACATGTGAGGGATGACAGCCTGGAAGAGCTCTAACTATAAGCTTTATCAAAAAGGAATGTTTTAAGTCTACTCTTAAACGTAGAGAGGGTGTTTGCCTCCTGAATTAAAACTGGGAGATGATTCCACAGGAGAGGAGCCTGATAGCTGAAAGCTCTGGCTCCTACTCTACTTTTCGATAGTTCAGGGACAACAAGTAAGTCTGAATTCTGGGAGCGCATTGCTCTAGTAGGGTGATATGGTACTATGAGCTCTTTGAGGTATGATGGTGCCATATTATTAAGGGCCTTGGAGGTGAGCAGGAGAATTTTAAATTCTATTCTCGATTTAACTGGAAGCCAGTGTAATGAAGCTAATACAGAAGATATGTGGTGTCTTTTCCTGGTTCTTGTCAGGACACGTGCTGCAGCATTTTGGACAAGCTGCAGGGTCTTTAACGACTTAATGCTCGAGCCTGATAATAGGGAATTATATGACAAGACATGGACTAGTGTCTGCTTCTTTTTGAGACAGGACATGTCTGATTTTTGAGATATTATGTAAGTGAAAGAAGGCGGTCCTAGAAATGAGTTTTAAAGTGAGAATCAAATGAAAAATCAAGATCAAAGATGACTCTCTAAGGTGTTTAGGGCCAAGTATTAGAACCTTTGTTTTTTCTGAGTTTACCCTGAGGGACACCGTGGTTAACTTTGGTGCGCACCGATCATTAATTTGCACAAATTGGAATCGATCTGAAAAATAGGATTTAAACCAGTTTAGGGCAGTTCTTTTAATGCCAATTTACTGTACTAATCTCTGTAATAAAATGTGATGATTGATACTGTGGAATGCTGCACGAAGATCTAACAGGACAAGGACAGACACGGACCCTTGATCTGAAGCTATTAGGTCATTAGTGACTTTTGCCAAGGCTATCTGTGCTGTGATGAGCTCTAAACCCTGACTGAAGGTTGTCATATACATTACTTTCCTGGAGAAACTCACAGAGCTGATTGGCTACAACCTTCTTAAGATGAGAAGGGGTTTAATTACAGCTATCTTAAAAGATTGTGGGACATATCCTGATGATAATGATAGATTGATTATATTCAGTAAAGAATTAATTAGGGGTAGAATTTCTTTCAGCAATTTTGTAGGAATGGGATCTAAGATACAAGTTGCGGGTTATGACAATGAGATTATTGTGGTCAGCTGATCAAGGGTGTTAGAAAGAAGGTATCTAAATAATCTGTTGGATTCTCAGCTGATTCCTGTGCTTGATAATGTATTAGCATCAACTGAGGGCAGGAGATGATTGATTTTATTTCTAATAGAATTTTGTCATTAAAGAAGGTCTTAAAGATAATGCTATTCAGGGATTGAAGAATATTAGGTTGGATGGAGGTGTGGCTCTCTGTCAGACTGGCTACAGTACTGAGTAGTGGCAGCTCTTGCTTTGTGGAGGGTTTTCTCATATGCTTTAACACTATCTTTCCAGGCTAGATGATTTTCAACACAGTTGTTGGAGCGCCACTTCCTTTCTAGTTTTCTTGATGCTTGTTTTAATTCATGTGTGTTGGAATTGTACCTGGCAGCTAATTTACTTTGTTTAACATGCTTCTTTTTTAGAGGCGCTATGGAGTCTAATGTTAATTTTAGTGAGGTCACAGAGCTATCGACAAGATGGTCAATTTCAATGGAACGAGCATTTTTAAAGAATTAGTCAATTGCATTGAGGGATGACACTGAGTTAAATGTAACTGGTATTATTTAGCTACAGCACTATCAGGTAGACATCTAGAAAAGGGTTTTTCATTAATGGTATATCGTAGGTAATAAAGGAATATTTTAAGTTTAACCTTAAATATAGAGATGGTGTCTGCCTCCCGAACCCAGAGTGGGAGCTGGTTCCACAGGAGAGGAAGCGGCTCTATGTTTTTAAAATAGTGAGCATTCATGTGAAGTAAACACAATACAATCTTAATGGGCCACAACATTCAAAATCAGCAGTATGGTATGGCCTTTTAAAACAAAAATGTCAAACAACATTACACTGACTGATGACTTCTGGCTCTGTACCTTCTTCCATAGAGCCCATGGGCCAGATGCCATGATCCTGGTGGATGGACAACCTCTACAGACAAACGGAGAGCTGGGTCTGTCACAAATGCTTCACATAGCGAGTCAGATTGCAGCTGGAATTATCTACTTGGCGTCTCAACACTTTGTGCACCGTGATCTGGCAACCAGGAACTGCCTGGTTGGGAATGGCCTGCTGGTGAAGATTGGAGATTTTGGCATGTCCAGAGACATTTACAGCACAGATTATTACAGGGTGAGTATCTGTCTGCTTTTATCAGGCATCATATTGTTTTTCTGTTTGTTTTACCTAAATTTAAAATTGTTCAGTTCTTCATGGAGTAACTCACAGACACCCTCACAATGCAGTGTCAACATACAGAATTACAGAAAGTAATAAGTAAAACAGGGATTTTCCAGGGAAGTTGCTTAGCACATACTCAACAACAATTATATCACACTTTTGACATTTATTGACCCCTGCCCCCAACATACTCAACCTCAAGTCAAAATGTTTAAGGGATTATTTGACTTATTATCTACTCAGCACTATGACGATGGAGGGGTGGGTGAAGTGGTTGAGTCCACAAAACACTAGTCTCAGGGGTAAACAGCGTTACAGACAGATCCAATACAATTGAGGTAACTGGGGATCCCTTCTTCACACAGAAAAAAAAAATCTCAAAATCCCATTCTGCTCCTTCCGTGTCATCCAAGTGTCTGTGACAGTCAGACATTCACATTTGATTCAAAGCGGAGTCATTTACACCATGATTTAAGCCTAAATGTCCGCTACCAGAAGTAGCGATGCTACTGGAACTAGCAATACTATCACTCACCCCACGTGTGCCCTTGGGTGAGAGCTTGTGTGCAGTGTATGCAAACATGATCAAAGCTCCAGGGGAGGATATCAGAAGAGTCGAATTTTAATGTCGGGGCTTATGGACACCACAGGAACAGACTGCTGGTCGGGGCCAGCTCCTGTTCCTGCCTCTCTGCTGACGGTGAAGCCAGCAGCATCTGCTCCTGTTACAGGTCCCCATTCAGCAGTGAAGCAGGTGGCACCCGCTCCTCTTCTTCGTCCCTGCAATAGCAAGTAGACTAACTCCAGTTTGAACTGGGAGTGGCGTACACTTCCTTCAGACCTGTCATGAAATTAGGCCCCAGATCTCTGGAAGAGGCACTTATAAATTACACTCATTGTCATACTTGTTGTATTGTTGCCACAAAGTATTGTGTGTAAGAAATCCTGTTTGTGTTTAGGTGGGAGGTCACACCATGCTGCCTATCCGCTGGATGCCCCCCGAGAGCATCATGTACAGGAAGTTCTCCACAGAGAGTGATGTGTGGAGCTTTGGAGTCATTCTGTGGGAGATCTTCACTTACGGCAAACAGCCTTGGTTCCAGCTCGCCAATAATGAAGTACACATTAATTTCTATTTAATGGCATGAGGAGGCATTTTCATTTTACTTGCTGACATTTTTCATTTAATTTCATTTAACACTCAACAGTTTGGAGAGGGCTTTTAAATTAGCTTGGTTGGTGCTTCACAATTTGTTAGGTTGCTGCAGGTCTTCAACTCCATAATTTCTCACAAAAGCAACTTAAATGTATACACACAGACTCTCATTTAAAAGAAACACAAACAACTTTCATGTAAAATAAATTCATAAAAAAATAGAAATACAGATGTGCATCTTCACTAGCCTCACGATTCGATTAAAACTCAGCAGTCAACGATTCAAATGCACAACAATGCATCTCGATGCACTTCAATGTGTCACATCAGCAATTTTCTATATTACTGCACATGGCTGGTTTTTCATCAATTAATACAATCAGTCAGACAAAATAATATCAGACTACAACTGTAAGTTTATAACAGTGGTCAGTGCTCTCCACACTGATTTGACATTCATTCATATTAGACTTGTGTGCTGCTCCTAGGGATTAAAAGGACAAACTCGGATTTTAGCCTCAACTGTATCAAGGTGGCCTCAGATGTGTGACCTCAATATCTCTCAAATCCAGGGTGTTGTTTCCAGATCTCAGATATTACAATTGATTAGTATAAAATAACAATTTAATCAAGACCCAAGTTGTAATAAACAGATTGTATTTTATGGTAGACATAAATCCTCCATAATGTTCCAACTCTCACACAGTCAGTGTTTTTTGTGAACGCTGAACAGAACTAATCAGTTTACAAATGATGAACATGAGCTTTTACATTTTACGACACTGTTTTACGGCATGACGTCTCCATAGGCACAGCCATGGCTGGTGCTATTGGTGCAGACACATCTATTACTGCTGGAGCGAGTTTGCTTGAGCATTTGAAACAGTTTTATGAACAATCATGTTAAGGTACTTAGAAGAAAAAATGTTTTGCTCACCAGGTCTGAAACAACAAGTCTGGACATCATCGTAAAGGCCATCTTGTGTAATACCAGGAGCTAGATAAAATGTGTGTGTGTGTGTGCATGTCCTGCACATACACAAGCACACAAACAGGCCCCAGGGCTCCGCCACCACTCACTCACTCAGAGCTACACACTGTGAGATAATAGGAGCGTTAACGTGAAGCAGATGGTAAGTGAGTATGTTAAAGGACAGTGTGAACAAACAGTGAAATTACAGAGTTTCTCTACAGTCCAAAGCTGCTTAGTGATCAGAAGGTTGGTTTGTACAGAGCTGGAGTTTCCTGTGTCCCCCCTCCACTCTCCTGCTGACCTGCTCTCACAAGTTATCAAGACCTCATCAGTACATGAAGTTTCCTTACTGTTTGTTTGATTCACTCTGTTTATGAGGCTGCCTTTAAACATAAAGTCATAAACACTGCACCGCACAACCATTTGTAAGTTATATACACAAAGAATATTTGATTTGCACGGTTTAGCTTAGTAATACACAGTGACCATTTTTTATGATAATTATTTTCATCTTAAAAACCTCAAAATTTAGAAACGCATTATACATATATATTATATCAGAATACAATACAAAAACATAGTTGGCATTCACATTTGTTGTATTCTGACAAAAGCTGCTTATTATCACTGAGCAGGTGAATGAATGGAGGGAGAGTTCTGACATCACAGTCTATACACACTTTTGTTCCAAACCAGAGAATGGACCAGTTAGCCTGGAACAGTGTTGCCTGATGGGAAATGTTACAGCATTAAAAGCTTAAAAGTATTGTATTTTGAGGAAAATTACCGTACACATCAGAGTAGGGATGGGACACTCAATACAGAGGCTTCAAAGCTGTGTCAAGATTCCGAAATGACTTAGGGTACAGAAACGATCCTTTTCAAGGCACAAGGCTCTTATTTTGAAACATGAGACAGAAAGGACTTTTGTTAAGCTCACTGACTAAAGAGTCACATATGGCACTTGAAATGTTGCTAGTGCCATCTTGTGGTGCTTTTAAGTTACTAGAAGATACAGACTCCACTTGAGACACACATACCAGTCATGTTGTATAGTAGTTGCAGATAACATTTGGGGGCAGGCTATGCTATTAAGGGTGGCATGTTGACCAAAAAAGTTTGTAATAAAGTTGTCGTTCAGACTTAAGAGACAAGTGTAATGTGAGTGATTTCGCTTTACACTGTCTTTAACTGTAACCTCCTAGATAATATAAAAACATGGTCCACTCAATCAGTCTTTGGATATACGCTGTGAGTGGACCAAGTTCACAACTGATCTCAGCACAGGAGAACTGGAGGAGCACAGGATGGACCAAAAATGATAACCTGTGTTTATGTAAAAAAGCTGGGTATCATCATTCAGCATATTTTTTGTATTAGTATAGGTTTTATACAAGGCAGACATTAATATAAGTTTTCAAATTGTATTTGGATAATTTCTGTCTAAAAACATATACTTCTGGGTGTGGGGTGCTTGCCAAATGGCTTTGAATAGGGGCACTTGTACTTTTGGCAACCACAGGAGTCTGCTCTTTGATTGGTTGCTGAAGATTTTGTACACTCTCACTTTTATTTATAGCCAATAGGTATTGATTTACGTTTTTTTAATCTAATGTGATTGTTCAACCCTCAACACTGTCTCAGGTATGCCCACTGTCATTGAGTTACTTCTGCTGCGAGCAGACTGGCAAAGATATTCCGCTAATTTCTTTACAAAAACACCCCAACAAGATTAAAAGAGGATAAAAGAGCTTAGTCCGGACCACTGTGATTTACACATTAGCAGCTGGCAAGTGCTTTTCCCACTCTTGTTATGAGAAACTGAGAAACATCCAGTTGGATGTGGTGTAAGTAATTTGTTTTATTGCTTCACCTGTTTGCTGTATCACAGTGTTGGCACAAACGGCATGAAAGTTGCTACGGTCACAATGAGGCAAAATTTGTGATAAAGGGTACAGGATTGGAATTGTGTGTTGTATTTGTTGAGTCTGGCTTCAGTTTGTTTAACACACCCTTTTCACCAGCCTCCACTGATAGATAGACATAAATACATCATATATATAAATCACAAAAATACACATACACTATAAAAGTACACAACAAGTTGAAAGACAAGGAGCCCCAGATGGCTAGTGGGAACAACAGGTGTATATCTGCTCTTTACATGATATGACATATACCATCAATATTCATTTGAAGACCATACCATAAGTAAATGGTTTGGTAAATGGTTTGTATTTATATAGTGCTTTTCTAGTCTTGATGACCACTCAAAGCACTTTACACTACAGTTTGCCATTCACCCATTCACACACATTCATACAGTGCATCTACTAGCAGCACTTTTTTGTTCTATGGGGCAATTTGGGGTTCAGCATCTTGCCCAGGGGCACTTTGGCATGCAGATGGGAAGATTGGGGATTGAGCTGTGGACCTTCTGGTTGGAGGATGACCGCTCTACCCCTCAGCTACAGCCACCCCTAAGTAGTTGCTTGTAGTTGGTGTCTTCTCTGGAAACTCATACTCAACCTTTAGGCACGAGTCAGCGTGTTTGATGTGCTAGCAGCTACATGTCCGAAAGCAGTTGCACAATGTTGCTTTTGTACCAAATTTGAAAACATTCCCTCAAGCTGATCTTAAGATATCACGTTCAGGAAAAACATAACATACTTTGTGAGACCACCTTGACCTTTGGCTCTGAAAATCAAGTGATTTAATCCTTGAGTCCAAGTGAATGTTTGTGCCAAATGTGAAAGGATTCCTTGATGGCGTTCCAGGGATATCACCTTCACAAGGCAAACAATTTACCTTGTGAAGTCACCATGAACTTGACCTTTAACAACCAAAATCCAAGTGAATATTTGTACAAAATTGGAATCAATTCCCTGGGCACATTTTTGAGATTATAAATTCATGAGCATGGAACAGACGGACACCCTGAAAATATAATATATATATAATTAAACGATTACAAAACAAAATGATTACCAAAAACAAAAAAGATTACTGAAGTATGACAAAAGAGGTTCCCAAACGGACTGGAATTTGTCTGAGCACCTTATTGCAAATTTAATCTTTTCTAAATGTAAAAACAGCATTACAGCCACCCACTGCAGCCATTGTGCTGCAGTGGGCGGCATATTTGATTTCCACTTAAGTAGAATTTGCATTATTGCCAGCAAAGAAACAAATGCTATGATGTTGAGTTGCTTCTTGGTCAAGCTTGTTTACTCATTTGGTACACCAAATAATGCTATCATTGCACAAGGTTGTAAAGTAATTCCAAGGACTTTAGACAGTACATCACATATGTCAGACCAGTACCCTGTTAGCAACTGGCAAGACCAAAACATGTGTGTCAAATCTGTCACATTAACATGACATCTCATACAACTGCTATCAACATTTGGATAAAAGGAAGAAATTTTCGCTCTACTCCAATGCAAACGATGTACCACGTTAAACTGAATAAGACTCAGTCTAGTACAGGAGGTACTATTGTTCACTCTTTTCAGAGCTTCAGTCCATATATCTTCTGAGATTTCACTTCCAAGTTCTTTCCCCCATTTGATTTTCTTCCTGTCCATTGACATGATAATTGTGTAAGAATGTGCAGTAAAACCCCTCATCCAAAAAGGAACTTTCAAAATTGAAGCTGCAAGTGACTTACTAGGAAAGTTAGGAAACTGTGGGCTATGGCTCTTAGCAAATGCACGGGTTTGAAAGTAGCAAAAAAGGCAATTTTGTTGGAGGGTCATATTTGGAATGTAAATCATCGAAACTGGAAAAGGTGCCATTTACATATAGATCACTGAACCTCATGATCCCTTTTCTATGCCAAGCTACAAAGGTTTGATCCAATTTGGCTGGTAAGAAGTTGTGAAGTTTAGTTGAAACCAGGGCAGGGAGGGATGATGACATGCATGACATGCCCTCTAGTTCACACCAGTCTGTACCTGGAGGCTGAATCCAGTACGCTATTTTGTGGACATTTGCTGCCCAGTAGTAGCATCTAAAGTTTGGTAGAGCCAACCCGCCTCCTGCTCTTAGTCGTTGAAGGAAATCCTTACTAATTCTAGGGTTTTGACCACTCCATACGAATTCAGATATCATTTTGTCAAGCTGAGAGAAAAAATATTTTTTTAAGAAGATAGGAATACATTGAAACTGAAATAAAAATCTCGGTAGAACATTTTAACACAGTTCACTCTGCCTGCCAAAGTCAGATGTAAAATGTCCCATTTTTGTAAGTCTGATTTAAGTTTAGAAATGAGTGGGGCAAAATTTCCATCAAAGAGGTTGTTAAATGAAGGTTATGTTAATACCCAAATATTTGAATCCTTATCTAGAAATCTGAAATGGCAGAGCGTGGTCTGGGATTTGCATAGCTAATTTGTTTATAGGTAAACATTCGCTTTTTGTTAAGTTAAGTTTGTAGCTTGAGATCTGACCAAAAGTATGTAACACCGAAATAATTTTACTGATGCATTGCATTGGATCAGATATGTAAAGCAACATATCATCTGCATAGATAACTTCATTTCCAATCCCCATCTACTTATACCATGTATTGAGGGTGATGATTTGAAGACCAAAGTTAATGGTTCTATTGCTAGTGTGAATAATAAAGGGCTCAATGGGCAACCCTGTCTGGTACCTCTAGATAGAGAAAAACTTTGGGAGCGCATTTGATTTGTTATTACTGAGGCTTAAGGAGAAGAGTAAAGAAGTTGGATCCAATTGGTAAATGTTTTACCAAAACCAAATTTCTTTAAAACAAAAAAAAGAAAATCCCATTCCATGCGGTCAAAAGCCTTCTCTGCATCCAGTGAAACCAAAACTTGGGAAAATCATTAGATGAGGGACTATACAACACATTCATAAGCCGTCTTATGTTGGAAAATAGATGCCGCCCTTTTTTATTTTTGTTTTTAAGGGTCTAAGAAAGGGCAGTGTTCAATTTGGACAAGCAACACATTCAATAGTAAGAAAACTTCAGTGAACAGGCAAACAGTGCAGTCAGTGGGTGAGGGGCAAATACTGACAAATTATTTCTTCATTTGTGGTATAGGACTACAGCGGTAAGTGCCAATGACCAAATCTGTGCAGCAAAAGAAACACGAGGGAATGTAATTCCCAGCATATATGTAAGAGCTGCAGGTACAGAGCATAACTATTTAAAGCCTTATGTCAGCAGGTTTGGAGTGCTGAAATGTCCTTGAGCCAGTTCATCAAGTTGATCACTTTGGGTTTGTAATGTAGCTCAACCTGACCCTTGACCCCCCTGTGTAAGGAACATTCAAAAAGATTGTTTCCTGTGTGCTACATTATTCATATGACTGCATAACTAAAGACCACAAAGACAGCACATTAATAAGAATCGACTTGGTAGATGTTAAAATTTGCTTGGCTCTGGGCCTGCTGCACTTGCAGTATATCAGTCTGATTAGCTGTGGGGTCATCAGCCAGGGACCACCGTTTATAGATGCAAAGGAAAGATTAACACCACCCTCAGCCATAAACCACATACATTTGCAGAAAACAATACATTTAAAACAACACATTTAAAACAACACAATAGCATTTCATGAAACAACATAATTTCACAAAACACATTTCTCAAAATACGACAATATTTTACAAAGCATAGCAACATTGCGGATGACAGCATTTCACAAAACCAAACATTTCACAAAACACAAAGATATTTGACATAGCACATTTTATAAGACGAAGGTCAGTGTAATGTTGCAATTACATGTTGCAGTTGAACACCCTTCACCTTACCCTCTCCTTCCAAACATGAAAAAGAACCTGTGGTAGCCTTTAATTGTCATAAAAACTCAAAAGGTTTTATTTTGTCCAGTCTGGGCTACTGTAAAAAACATGGCATCTTCCGTAGCGAGGACCCCCTCGATGTAAATATAAAGTTTTTAAATATAAAGGGCCTTTTCTGGGGTAAAGAAAACTACAATTCTTACAATTTAGATGAAACAAACTAGTGAAAACATCATGAGGATTATTCTACATTAAATTGCTGCCAATAGTTCCCTTTCACCTAAATCTTACACACTGGACCTTTAACACTACATTTCAAAAACACAGCAAAAATGCAGCTGTGGCTCAGGGGTTGGAGCGGGTCATCCTCTAAACCCAGTCCCCCCTATTTCGCATGCTGAAGTGTCCTTGGGCTAGATACTGCACCCAAAAAAGTTGTTTCTATTGTCATAGACAAAGTGTTGCACATAGAGTAATTGTATGAATGTGTGTGTATGTGAATCGCTGAATGGCAAAAAACTATACTGTAAAGCACTTTGAGTGGTCATCAAGACGAGAAAAGAATTAAAGCATTATTTAAATACAGACCATTTGCCATTTCACAAAAAATTACATTTCACAAAACACAATATTTGCAGAAAGCATGACATGATAACAGCATTTCTCGAAATACAATGACATTTCACAAAAATTAACAACACTTCACAAAAAATGTCACGTTACAGAAACACAATGTATTTTTACAAAAAACTACATTTAATGAAATGCTACAACAGAGAGTGAAGGACATAACTTCTTTATTATACTAAGTAAGTATAACAACAACAAAGTACAAGCAGCGAATAAAATATCCTGACAGCAACTATCTGATCGTAGTGTCAACTGTTTATTTTACACACAGGTTCTTGTGGTAGCTGTTCTCATAGCACCACTAGCAACTATTTATAATGTTACAAAAGAAGAAATAACCATAACTTCAAAGGCAGATCATTATTACCTACATTATCTCAAATCAAGATAGGTAGATTAATACTTCAACTGAGTGTGTGATGACAGTTTAAAACCATTTGCTGTTTCTATTCCATGCTGACATTTTAAACTGAGTTTGAAGGAAAAGGGATTCAAGTTTGAAATCACAAGTATACTTAAAAAGGATGTTCATGTGATGTAATTCTGAATATGTTTTCAACATATAACTTTAAATGTTATGTACACACAAACAAAGCTTTTCCTGAACAAGGCAAGTCACTGTCTTGTTAATTATGTGTCTCTTTGTCTCCCCAGGTGATAGAGTGTATTACTCAGGGGAGGGCACTTGAGTGCCCCAGGCTGTGTCCCAAGGAAGTCTACGATATTATGCTGGGCTGCTGGCAGAGGGAGCCACAACAGCGCCTCAACATTAGGGACATTCAGAAGATGCTCATCTCTTTAATGAAAGCCACACCAGTCTATCTGGATATACTGGGATAGGAATGGATAAAAGGTGTATTTCGGGTTGGACTAAATCATTATGTTAACAGAAACTCGTACACTGGAGGTAAATTGATTGCTTTGGAGGCACAATTTGCTATGGATTCACAACATAGTCTCTAATGGAACCATGCGAAGTAGAATTAGACAATGAACTGTATCTTGTATCCAATTACCTGACCTGGATTGGAATTACTTAAAGTTGAGTGATGTGTGTTTAGCTGGGTTGGAATGAACGGGATTACACAAAAGGAAATGAAAAGCAGATGGCTTTGGCCTGCCTTCCATGACTGGGTCAGGTCTTGCCCCTTTTCAAAAGAACTCATGGCTACAAGGTATTGCCTATGTAGTACGGATTGCATTAAACTGGGATTAACTGGATTAACCTGATTGTTCGGGTCTGGTTTGGTTTTCTTAACCTTATAAATTAGGTGTTACATTTTATCCATGATATCCTAGCCTATGCATTCTCATTTCACCCTGTCTAGATCAGTACAGCTTTGTTTCTATCCTAGTTTTTTCTATCCCAGCCTGGCCAAGTCTGGTAGAGTCAGTTTAGCTTTTTTTTAAATATCCATCCCTAGATTATATTGATTTCACTCGAACATGATTTATTTATGTTCCTTTAAATCAATGACAGGATGATGGGTCAGTCCTGGCTTAATTTAAAGTGAATGCAGTATTCACATGACCATCAGTAATGTTTTTTACCATTCCTCCTCACTGTTTTTCATGAAGACATTGAGGAAGCAGGTCAACAAGAAAGAGCAAGTGTAGTTAAATCAGATAAGTATTCATATAGCAGCCACTGTGTGCTTGTCCAGTGTAAACATGCTTCAGCATCTTCATATACAACGCCTACATAAATACTCCATCCAGTCTGAATCTGATGTTGGCCTACTAAGTTGTTAACTAGTGCAAGAACCTAACCAGACCCTCCATGACTGAGCCTTGAGACACGGCCTTAGTGATTGTCTATTGCCCCAGAGATGGATCAAAGTGCCTCCTACTACTTTCTAAACACTGGAAACAAAAGGAAATAGTCTTAGAAAAAGCACTTTTACTTAGTTTTTTTACTTTTACCTTTGTTTACCTGCTTAAAATGTACCCTAGCTGTAAACTATTCTTGTTTTTCTAACGAACAAAAATGCTCAAAAACATGAAAAAAACATTTTGAATGATTCAGAAAAAGTAAACTCTCTCTCTCTATATATATATATATTTACCAAAAATGCCCCAAACAAAGATTTTGTACCCATTACAGCTTGATAAGAACACCCAACTACCCAAGATGGAGTAACATTTTCTGTTCTTTTTTTAAATACATATTTTTTATTGCTTATTACCTGTATATTTTTTACATTTATTTTTTAATCAAAGAGTGTACCTCTGCCATGCTCCAAAGCCATTGGAATATTCTGCCATTGGGTAGCACCAAACTTATCACCATTAAGGATTACATTTAAAAAAAAGTGTGTTTTACCCAGGATCCACATTGGATCCTACACAAGAGCAACAAGAACTTTATAACAGAAACTGTTCATGAAAAACACCATGTAACTTAAATAATGTATCAAGGCTATTTGTCTTGAGATATGTCAACTGATTTTGTTTTACTTTACTTATTTTTAGCCTCTTAATGTGTTGTCATTTGGTGATGTCAAAGCCAGTAGATATTTTGATAATCTTTCTTTCCTTTGTAATATGCTATTAACATTTACTTTATCTTGCCACAGAAAGTCTTTTTAATATAATACGTGTTTTGAATTTAAATATTGTACCTTTAGCTAATCATTTGATCGAACTGTATGTCAGGACAGTAAAGGAAAGATTTTAAGTTAACTGGCCGTTGTTTTAGGATTGACTATTGTTAGAAACGTTAATTTTATTATTTACTTTTGTTGCCATAGACCACCCTAGGTCAGATTGAAATCTGTTTAATTTTTGGGTGTCCAGTGTTTTAATCCTTATTTTGCATTAGCACTGTAAGTAGGGGCAAGCCTAGCTTACACAAGAGGAAAAATATTCACTTTTACCAAACTGTCTCATTTATCATTTTTTGGTTCCTTTCTTTTCAATTTTATCGAACTATAGATCGCTCATGTAAATCTTTCATGTAAGCTTTGCCATTGGATCTGCAATTAATTTTGATGACCTTGGTGTTCACAGTTTTGTGACACACACATACGCACATCACAATGATTTGGATAATTTAATTTGGTTAAATGCTAAATGCTAAATGTCACTGTTGCTATTGTCGATATTCACAAAACTCAAAGTCTAACAACAACAGGGTACAGGCAGCGAATAAAATATCCTGACAGCAACTATCTGATCGTAGTGTCAACTGCTTATTTTACACACAGGTTCTTGTGCTAGCTGTTCTCATAGCACCACTAGCAACTATTGTATAATGTTACAAAGGAAGAAACAATCATAACTTCAAAGACAGATCATTATTACCGACATTATCTCAAATCAAGATAAATATTAAATAAATACTTTGGAGGGGCTATTTCAATGCACACATAGGGACTTATTACAATGTATTATGTTACAAATAACGACAATCAAATAGCAGCCCTCCTATCCATCAGCCATGAAACTCACAGTCAGCGGCAAAATGGACTAGGACAATGGGGACAAGGTTTATCAGTTTATTAAGGTTTAACAGCTGTGTCTGAAAGCTGTGAGAAAACAATGTGTAAGCCACTGTCAATCAGTTGAGGTGACTAATGTTTGATTGCTGTTATTTCAGAAGTTTCTTCAATGTGTCTCTGTGCTATAACATTGGACTCCAAACAATTTACATGAAAGTTATAATGGTTAGAAAAATATCAAGATTAATATTTTGCTGTATGGGCAGATTGTATGGATAAACCTGATCGCAAATGTTGTCCCGAATCTCTTAATACCTGTGTCTGACATTGAGTTTTTAGTGAATTATATGTTCATTTATTGATAACAATCACGATGTCAAGATTAAATAGGACCAACATTTTACAGCAAAGGTGCTTTCTGTGAAACCTTGTCCAGAGGGCAACCAGTCTGTTTCTCTTTCTTTTCAAAGCCATTTCAAGACCTACTGAATGATACCATTACTACTGTAAGTATTAGTGATTCTGATTACTGAACTGTAACTGTAACCTCATTAAATGGTTATTTTCTGCTATGAAATTTTAGCAGGCACAGGAAACTAACTCGCTGCAGAAGTAGTGCAACAGTTCACTTCATGTCTTTCACACTACAATGGAAATGAAAAACACACATACAATAAAAAGAAAACAACAACAGCACACAAAAAAAGAAAAAAAATAGTACAAACAAACCTGTACACCCACTCCCCACCCAGGTAGCCTAAACAAGTTCTGTAGTACAGTAGTTGTGCTGTGAAGCTACAGTGTGATATCAGACAGAGAAGGGACAGGCAGAGGACCAGCTCCAAAGATTGCTGGAGGGGGGGCATGGTTGTAGTTTTATCTCCAGAACTTTAGTTAGAATGTCAAAAACTTAGCACCAGAAATGCCCAAGTTTTGGGACAGTCCCATAATGTGTAATAAGCCTGCTTCTGGATAACCATAAGTATTGCAGATTGGGTCATGATCTGGAAATAATTTAGCTAATCTGCTTTTACTGAAATGCATCCTATGGACAACTTTAAACTGAATTAGACTCAATCTGGCACAAGATGTAGAGGTGTTCACCTTGTTCAATGCACTTACCCACCAATCCTCTATTAGATTCATCTCCAATTCTTTCCCATTTCGCTTAAATTAAAGAAATAATATCAGTTACAGTCATAATCTGAGAGTACATTTTGAAATCAGTCCCCTCTGAGTTGGGTTGTTTCTAGAATGTCTTACAGGGGAGGTTTGGGTATGGAGGGAACTGTTTCTGTACAAAGTGATGGATCTGAAAGTACCTGAAAAGGTATGAACGTGCCAGATCATATTTCTTACATAAGGTATCAAAGCTGGAAAACTGGTCACCATCATCATATAGGTCTATGAGGCACTTCAGTCCCTTATTTCTCCACTGAAAAACAGTTGCATCCACTATAGAAGGTGGAAAGAGGTGATTATTACTGATAGGACCCAGAGAAGAGGCTGTAGAAAATTTTAAGTGAAGGCGAAAACAGACAATATTATGTAGTAAGTTTGATTTCATTAACTAGTCGAAACTAGTCAATAACAAGTTAGCATCATTTCCCAGATCAACTGAGCCTCCTCTCTGAAATGTGTCTAGGAGATTAAAGGAGAAAGTCTACTGAATCTGAGTGTAACTAGCATAATGCTGTTTGGTTTAATCAAGTATGACTTGTGAGACAAAGTTTCCCCTCATATTTTAAATATCCTGTTCATTGAATTTTAACATTTTACAGTTTGTAACAGTGTAACACTGCCATTTGTAATAATTGTAGAATCTACTTGTTGTTAAGTGACCTTGTTACATGGTGTTCTCATTCTGTATA